CAATTCATATATAGTCGAATAAGATAGGATAAGGTAATATGCGCGTACTTAAAAAATTTTAATCGCTTACTAGAGATAGCTCGATTACTCCAAGTATATGTAAACGCACAACCCACTAGACCCCATAGTCTTCAGAGAATGCAAAAGATAATGAGTAGAATGAAAATGTATCGTGTGTATAATGGTTATTAACTGATCAACTTATAAGAATCTGATGAATAATTGCTTTATTAAATAATTAAATAATTATATTTCATCATTTCTAACTCAGTCAGTTAAGAGGTAGGGAATAACTGACAGTTACTGAATTATGGGTTGAGCCTCTACCCATTAAGTTCATTTGTATAGTACACCTATCACGGTCAACAAAATCATAAAGACCAATATGTTTGTGCTTATTAATTAATGTTAATCCATAAATAAATATTCCAACAATCCCATCATGCAGAATCCACCTCCTGTGAAACCCAGTTGATTCATGATTTTTCATTCAGTAGCCAAATCCAAAATACCTCCTCCTCCACTGTCCATTTGCCAATCATTGTCCATGTCTTTGATGTTCTCTCTAGCCAAGAACATATGAATCGTTGAGTTGGGTCATGAATCTTGGAGAGAGCGGCGATGATGGGGTGTTTTCAGTGGCCGAAGTCTCCAACATTTTCAACACCGGGAGGGAGGGGGGCTGAGAAGGGAGAGGAAGAAGAAGGGTCGAAGGAACAGACAGAGAGAAGCTTCAGGTGCAGACCATGTGTCAATTTTTCTCGTCAAATTAAACTTTTAATAGTCAACATTTTTTAAGGTTAACAGTGGGACAAAAAAGCATCATTTTTAAAAGTTTTGAGATAAAATTACTCCAAACAAAAAATTAAAATACCAAGAGTCCCTGGAAAAAAATATTTAAGACATTTTTACTATTTAATCCTTTATTATAAGATATCTGATCAGAATAAAAAAAATATAGTTAAGTTATTAACTTTATCTAAAACATGATAAACACCAAAGTTTACTCATTTTTTTTTTGGGTACAATTTTACTCCTATTTAAATGAAATATTTTTAAATTTAAATTACATTCTCTCTCATAGTTTATGAGTTTAAATAAGAATAATATTAAAAAAGATAATTAATACCCCATCAAATACCTTATATTAAAAACAAAAAATACTTTCAAAAAACACCTTATAATAGAAATTTGATGGAGTACATTAAAATTTGGAGGAGATTGCATGTCGCAGGAGAAGAATTTTATGTCAACAATTATGCATATTCAAATATTTCTTCAATTTTCAGGATAATATTCATTGATAGTTGAATGTAATATGTATATTCAATTTCCATGAAAATGTAATGGGATATTCTGAAAATTTATTTTTTTCATGATAATGATTATGAATATTTGAATATATTTTTAATTTTCATAAAAGTACAATTGAATATTTTGAAAAATGTACATCCTTAAAAGATAAAGATTAAGCATTTGCATATTGGTAATCCAACTATCGATTTTTATTCTTCTAAAGGACCTAAGTCCTTAAACAAATTTCAGGTATCTTAGAGCAATAAATTTGATGGTGAGGAATTTTTGAACAATTTTCTCTTAGAATTTAGAACGACAAACACTTTGTAATAATAATAAAAAAAGACAAACACTTTAATTTGAAATAGTAAGTTCTTTTCATTGCTTAAACCAAAAATAAAGAGCAAACGGTACAACTCCAAGGCATGTGGTGGGGCCCAACACCTGTTTACTTCAAAATAATCTGGTCGTTAATGTTTTTCAGTGACACAAAATAAAAAAAGCCAGGACTCGGAAGGAAAGCATTCAACTCTAAATATTCTCTCATTTCCGAAATAATTCATGTGATGTGTTCATTTGGTTTTGAATGCTCAAAAGAGACACCTACTAAAGACACGTAACGGTGTTATTCCCTCTTTGGAGTTTAGATTCAAAGACTAAATAGAATAAATTCTCCTTTTAAGGAAAAAAAATGACAGCGAAAGGACAAAGTTAAAGTTATTCCCTTCTCATTAAAAAATATAAAATATTTTTAATATTTTAAAATATAATTAATATATTTTTAAAAAAATATTCATAATAAATAAAATATTTATATTTATTTTAAAGTAAAATATCATATTAGATGTGAATAAATATAGAAAGATAATGTTAGTATGAATACAAATAATTATTTTATTGAAAAGTTAGATCCGGTTAAAAAGTTGTACAATTTTTAATAGAGAGAATATAGCTTTTATTGTCCCTGATTTTTTTTTTTTTTGCATTTTATGAAATCATTTTTCACACATTTGGCTTATAAAAATATTTTAAAATATAAAAAAAGACAATTATTTTGAATATTTTTTCTTAAAAATAAAAAAAGTCACTGGGAGTTCAAAATAAAGACTAAAATATACTTTTAGTTTTCAAATTTTATATAAAATTTAAATTTAATTCTTTAATTTTATAAAGACTCTTTTTAGTCTCTAATTGTAACATCATTAGTTTAAAATAATTATTTGTTATGCCAATCATTTTTATTTTTTTTAAATGAATTTAATATATTAGCATTTGAGAATATTTTGTCAATATTTAGAAGTTTAGTGTAAAAAAATTCTATGATGAAATTAACAATGTAATGGTTTAAGTATTCTAAAAAAGACACTTATAAAATTAAAAAGCTAAAATAAAATCTTATATAAAATTAAATGACCAAAAGTATACTCTAATCTCAAAATAAACCTATTTCCTCAAGCCCTAAAAATATGAGCTAAAAGTATGAGCTAATTAATTAATTCCCACGTATTAAAAAATTAATCAAGTCAGTTGTTTATTATTAACGTATCAAAATTTTGTGATAGTTTTTCTAAAATATCCCTCCCATTAATTGGGAATGATGTGTTGTCTTAAAAAAGTTGTGCAGTAAACAGGGGTAATTTTTAAAAAATAATTAACTCAAAAGACAAAAGAAAATGAAATCTTATAAACAAAACAAAACAAACTCACCAACCAATACTTGCATTTTAAAATATAAGGAGTATTAATTAATAGGAATTAAGTTAAGTAAAATAGATCAACCTCTCACAACGTAATGATTAATGAATTGAGATTTAATTTTTTATTAAACAATATATTTACATTTAACTCTTGATCATGTCTTCGTGCAGCACCAATTGGTTGTAGTAGGAATGATAGCTATTCAAACCCCTTAACCATCATTCCAGATTCCATTACTAAAAATGTGTACAGAGATTAATTTCTCAACTGGGAGGATAACAAAAAAGTAAAATATTAGGTTGTGCTTGTATGACATGCATGATGGCATTATAGAAATAATATGAAGAGAGAGGGGTACTTACGTAGGAAAAGTGTAGAGTACGATAAGCAGTATCAGATTGACTTGCTTCTGACTGATCAGAGCCTTCAATGTACTCCAAATACGCAATGCATCTTCGCGTACTTTTTGTTTACCATTTTGCGTTCTCACCGAAGTTTTTCTTTCGAACCAAATTTCAATGCCAATAAATTTATTTAGGCCATGTTTGATATATTAAAATTAGATTTAAAAAAATGAAACTAAAATTAAAATCATGCGTTTAATGATTTAATATGTATGAATCTATTTTTTTATAGATTCTATTCTGTCAAAATACTCAAAATTTAATTATCTTTATCATGATGGAATTGTCACAATTTTATGAAATTGTATAAGTGTCTCACATACACACTCATCATGATGACTGAGTTTTTTATTTTTTTTAAAAGCATTTTGATTTTTATCTATTTTAAATACATATATGTATTAATATTATATTTAGATTTTTTTTCGTACCAAACATACATTTATAATTTAATTTAATTTTATTTTAATTTTATTTTAATTTTAATTTCATTAATTCATCAAACCCTCTTCTTTGTCGCTTTCAATTTTACGAGTACTCTCAACGAAATTTACCACCCCACGTGCTGCAGTCTACAAATTTTGCATGCTTCGTACAATATTTCTCGAAAACTGGACTTCAATAAAATACGAAGTCCGCGTACCAAGTATGATCTGAATTTGATATCCGCAAGGCTCAAACTTAATTGCCAAGCATCGTCGGTGACAAAATTCTCCGTACACTACTTGCATGCGTAAATGTAGGGTAAAAATTAACCTAAACGAAATTCAATACTCTGATTTTTAGTTATGGTGACACGATTTTTTTATTTAATGACTCATCACCTTGATTTGTTTGTTTGCATTAGTTTTTTGAAATATTTATTTTGTTATTAATTATAATTTATCACGTTTACACTTGTGTGATTACGTAAGTTAGCAGTTTAGGATAAATTAAACTTGTGCAAGGCATGGATTATTTTAATTTTTTTTAAGTATATAATATCATATCAAATCATGTAGATGAGAAGCTAGCAAAAAATGGTTTACAAATACATATAAAAACGAACATATACACATTTGACATCAACATTCTAAATGGAAACAAGAAGTTATAAAATTAATAGACATGAACAAAATATAGCAAAAATATAAACGAAAACGATTTTCTTATACATACTGAAAGCAATAAAAAAAAGGCATTATTAAATACTGTTGAAGGAAAAAGTTGCTTGGCTTCAAAAATTCTCATGGCATGACAAAAGCTAGTTTGACATACACGCACGATTTAATTTTCTTAAAAAAAATAAATAATTGCCGTATTATATGAAGAGATTTATTACATGCATACTAACTATCAATATCACTATTAATATTAATAATAGTTAAAATATTTGCATATTTCACTGCAGTTCTTCTTTTTTTTTTTGGCCAACATTTCACTGTAGTTCAAAGCTTGCGTGCCTTACCGTTTTCCCACTGTTTGATTCTTCCTTCAGTGAAGCGTTGTGCTTCAGTTGAATGTTAAATTAAAACTTAAAACCATTGTATAAAAAAAAAAAGAAAGAAAAGAAAAGAAACAAAGCTTAAAACCCCAAATTTGCATCAATTTGGTGGTCCTTGTCCTTCTTGTGTTTGGCTTCATAGTCCCATCTCCATTATTTCTTTCATTCTGTGCCATGGTTGGTTCCCAGATGATACAAGGCAGAGTACAGCAAAGCTTCAAAATACAGAAAGCATTGCCGTATCAAACCTTGATTTTCCTGTAAATTTATGGACCACGACAATAAAAATGGTGACAAGATGTTTTTGACCTCTTCCATTTCGGAAATTTCTTTGTTCAAATCTTAATAGCGTCTTCGCCTTCTTGCGTTTCGGCACAATCATTGGCTCTGAGAGATATCTCAATTATTCATTTCCAGTACGGTCTTGTTGTTGATAGATTTCTGCTTACTCTGTTTTCCAATCTTGGAGGTGTTTTGGGTTGGCACAGGCGGTTCTTCGCTGGAAATGCTAACGTGCTGATGATAATAGATTAATAATGATCAACCAAAAAAGAAGTCCATTATTATATTCTCTGTTTCCTTGCTTTATATTCAACTGTCTATGAGTAATGGCAGACAAAAAAGAAAAAGAAAGGTTTGGATCTTACTCCGGCCCTTTTTCTTTCTTGTTTTCTAGTCGCCAATGATGTTCTTGATCTTCCAAAGCAGCGGAATGGCGGCTGCAAGTGAATTTAGTTATATGTTTGTTTATATATATGTGTCACATTTTTGTGGTGCGTCTTCTTCAGACATTACGCGTCATTTTGCTTTTTTTTAATCAGCGGTTTTTGGACTGTGCAGGGATTAAGCCTAATGCTTAACGTTCATTGACCGGGAAAGCTAAACGACCTCTACCTCTTGTCATATCGCTGGTGATTGGATTGATTTCTGCTGAATATGGAAGATGTGATACTATTTCTGTATCGGAATCTTCGGTAACGATTTCCTCTAAGTGTTATCGAATGTAGAGCCAACTAGTTGGATCCAAATCACTCCTGCTTTAACTTTTGGAGGGTCTTTCTTTTCGCACTATTTTGACTCGGGAATTTGAAGGCACAAAACATTGCCACTGACCCGGATTGGGGGGGTTCCTTTGGCTTTGTACCGTTAAACAGTGCTTTGTATCTTCTTGAGTTTCAGAAAGTTTGAAATAAATTGCAGCATAAGCTAGGACTGTAACGTCTTGCTTTCTGAGCCAAAAAGGTATCTTATTCTTCACGGATTTGAATCATTCGACACTCTTTAGAGAATTACTGAGGGATCCCTCTTGGTGGTGAGAATAAAATCAAGCTTCTAAGAAAATTGGAAGAGGGTTTGCTGGCCATTGAGGAATACAAGGTTTCAAATTAGTTGAAAGGGTGTTATCAATGATTGCTTCGTTATTCCTGAACGGAATGCTAGCGAGTTGGCAAATATAAAACGTGTTCTTTAGCTTCTTCGTATTGTTTGACTTTCGAGCATATAGGAACATACATACGGGTTTGATGGTTAGTGAGACCTGAGATTTTCTCCCGTTGAGGTAGGCGGTTGTTTTGGAATCAGAAATGCCGATGAGTCGAGAGCAAGAAAAGAGAGGGAAGCAGGAAAAAGTCTCTGATACTGCTGAGAAGGTCCTTGTTGCTGTTAAAGCATCAAAGGAAATTCCAAAGACTGCTCTGGTTTGGTCTTTGACTCATGTTGTTCAACCTGGGGATTGCATTACACTGCTAGTAGTTGTTCCTTCGCAAAGTTCAGGTAACCTCTCTTTGGCCTTCAGCCCTTCATTTTCCTCCTCCTCCGGGGTTGATTCTTTCAGAGAGAACTTTTTAATGCTAAACAAATGATGCTTGAAATATACCTCTGTTATTTTGGCCAAAAAAAAAAAAACATGTATATACACCTGTATTATATTTTGGCTTTCTAAGGTATCTAAGCCCATATATTCTCTAGTCTTCACAATTTATAACTGACGATTACCCCGTAAATATTCAGGTAGAAGATTATGGGGTTTTCCGAGATTTGCTGGTGACTGTGCCAGTGGCCACAAGAAGGCTGCTTCAGGAACAGCCTCAGAGCAGAAGTGTGATATTATCACCGATTCTTGCTCCCAGATGATCCTTCAGCTTCACGACGTCTATGACCCGAATAAGGTTAATATAGGCTTGATATTAGATTGCACATTGATTCTTGATGTTGTATCCTTGATCTTATCGTTTTTAACAGATAAATGTCAAGATCAAAATTGTTTCTGGATCACCTTGTGGATCAGTGGCTGCAGAGGCCAAGAAAGCCCATGTCAGTTGGGTCGTATTAGACAAGTAATACTCTATCTTAACTTTTTCACTAAGAAAGGCATGCTAAAGCTTAAATGATGAAATATTAGTTTCTAGTTTACTATTTCGCTGATCTGTGATTATAATTGCATCTGTATTGCTGGTATTTTGGTGTTAATGCCCTCGCAGACAGCTCAAAAATGAAGAAAAGCGGTGCATGGAAGAGCTACAATGCAACATTGTGGTTATGAAGCACTCCCAAGCAAAAGTACTCCGCTTGAATTTGGTTGGCTCGCGGAAAAAGGATCCTGAAGAAGCAGGTCAAGTACCTTCTGGGAAAGATGAGATGCATGGAAACCAAACCAAAAAGAAGAATGACTGTTTGAATTCCATTAAAGGACCAGTTGTCACTCCAACTAGTAGCCCAGAGTTGGGGACACCGTTCACGGCTACTGAAGCAGGCAATTCATCAGTTTCGAGCTCAGATTTAGGAACATCACCATATTTCATCCCAGAGACAAATGGTGAGTTGAAGAAAGAAGAAACAATCAAGGAAAATCAAGAACTTGATGATAGTAATTCAGACACCAAGGGTGAAAATCTGTCCATGTCCTCAGCAAGTCTGAGGTTCCAGCCATGGATCACAGAATTACTTCGACATCAACAATCGTCTCAGCGCACAGAAGAAAGAGCAGAGAGACCTTATGAAAAGCATCACACATCTACAACCAGAGCTTTGCTAGAAAAGTTCTCGAAGCTTGATAGAGAAGCTGGAATTGACGTCTCAACCAGATGGACAACCGAGTTGGATTTCAGTGGAAATGTGAGAGAAACAATAGCATTATCCAGAAATGCTCCTCCTGGACCCCCTCCATTATGTTCAATATGTCAGCACAAGGCACCTGTTTTCGGAAAGCCTCCAAAGTGGTTCAGCTATGCTGAGTTGGAACTTGCAACTGGAGGATTTTCACAAGCCAATTTCTTGGCAGAAGGAGGATTTGGATCTGTACATAGAGGGATTCTTCCGGATGGACAAGTCGTTGCTGTCAAGCAACATAAATTGGCCAGTTCTCAGGGTGATCTTGAATTTTGCTCGGAGGTTGAAGTCCTGAGCTGTGCTCAGCATCGAAATGTTGTTATGCTAATTGGGTTCTGTATAGAGGATAAGAGAAGGCTACTGGTTTATGAGTATATATGCAATGGCTCGCTAGATTCTCATTTATATGGTAATTTCTTATGCTCCTGCACCAAATATTGTCTTGATTGAATTATACGCTTGTATTGGCATGAATTTGTTGAAGTTATTTGACATACAATGTTTCTATAGTCGATGAACTCCTTAATTTTCGTATATCTGTCCAATCTCGAAGCATATTATTGACTAATGGGTAACAAGTTCAGACATATTGGATATTTTTGTATTTCAAACTATCAAGAGCAAACTCTTGAGTGTGATAGATAGAACTTAGATGCACAAGCAACTTCAAAAAAATTTTTGCTGCTTGAAATTATTCAATCCAGAAGCGTTCTTAGACCTTGGATGAAGTAGGATTTTTGTTATTCTTAAAATCTACAAGCATGCTGAATATGTATATATCATGGTCTTTTTAGGCTGAACACAATTGGTAAAATTGTCTTTTTATGTTATTTCAGGGCGACAACAAAAACCATTAGAGTGGTCTGCAAGACAGAAAATTGCTGTTGGAGCTGCCCGAGGGCTGCGATATCTCCATGAAGAGTGCAGAGTTGGTTGCATTATCCACCGTGATATGCGGCCGAACAACATCCTCATTACACATGATTTTGAACCACTGGTAGTGTATAAATTACCTCCATTTACATGTTAGTCTTGTATTTTACAAAAGAAAGTCATCTCAACCAGTATTTTTATCCGTAGCCAAAGTTCTTTTTTCTTGTAAATCTTCATTTGGCAGATAGTTTTAGAACTGTTAATACGTTAAGAAGTCACTATAGAAATTGGAACATTTGGATAAGTCTTGCTTTAATGATATACGAAAATTAATTTTTTGAGGTGCATGGATTTTCTCATTTCCAAATCCAAACATGATTGTTTTGTAATGAATTTTATTAGGTTGGTGATTTTGGACTAGCAAGGTGGCAGCCTGACGGAGACACAGGTGTTGAAACTAGAATAATTGGAACATTTGGGTAAGTCTTGCTTTAATGCTTGATTAATTTGATGTTCTAGCCTGTGCAATGCAAGCATTCAAGCTCTATTCTGCCTATGTAGGTATTTGGCACCAGAATATGCTCAAAGTGGACAAATTACTGAAAAAGCTGATGTTTACTCCTTTGGAGTGGTATTAGTTGAACTTGTTACAGGACGAAAAGCTGTGGATCTCACGCGACCCAAGGGACAGCAGTGTCTCACTGAATGGGTAAGTTAAAGGACACTAAGATAATATTATAACCTCATGACTGTTTTATATTGGCATCAAGCAAGACCATATCATAAGCTTTCTTTTTTTTGCGCTGCTTCGCCTCAAGTAATCCTGAACAATTGGACATTAAACAGGCACGCCCACTATTAGAAGAATATGCCATTGAGGAACTGATTGATCCAAGGCTGGAAAATTGCTATTCAAGGCATGAGGTCAATTGCATGCTGCATGCTGCATCATTATGCATTCGCCGAGATCCTCACTCTAGACCGCGTATGTCACAGGTAAAGGGATATTTTGAACAGATCTTTTTGTTGGACTTGGATTCAAAAGTTTACATTACATATTATTTAGAAGATTTTAACACAACAATTGAAGGATAATCATTTAAAGTCAATAGGACAAGGATGAAATCACCAATCCAAAAACGATTGGTAAATGTCCCCAAGGAGATCAAGCATTTCACCTTCTCTCCTTAATTGATATAATCATTATCTCGGCACTTCATATTCCCAAAATCGATCCACCAGATGATGACAAGGCCACTAGAATCTGAGAATGGGAAATCAGAAATGTGTTTTATAATATTAGATATATTGAAGGCAATTATTCTCAAGTTAAATGTCCTGTGATGGGAAAAACTTACGCGGCAATGATATTTTGATATCTTGAACGCCTAAATGTTCTGTTGTTTGGATTCTCCTAATCACTTTTGCTTCTTTGTTCTAGGTTCTCCGAATACTGGAGGGTGACATGGTCATGGAAACAAATTACATTTCACATTCCGGCTGTGATGTGGGAAACCGAAGTGGTCGAATCCGCGCAGGGCAGTACCATTACAGTGGTCCCTTGCTAGAGGAGTCACTGGAATCGTTCAGTGGGAAGCTGTCTCTAGAGAAATACAGGTCCTCCTCTCATTGGAGAAGGGACAAGGTTAGAAGGACTGCACGTGAAGATATGTAAAGTGGTTCCCTACTTCTCACATTGACGGTGGTCTCTCTATCACGATAGGCCCTACTCTTCTGTAGTTATCTATCTGTTTCTATGGAATGCCATCTATTTTTGCATCTGTATAGTGGAGAGAAAAAAGTAGGATAGATATATCAAGTCCCCCCCCCCCCCTTGATTTTTTCATGAAGTTAGCTAGTGTCTAAATGGCCTTGATCAGATCTGACTCTTGAAAACATTTGTGGTCTTAAAATGTCCAAATAACTTCTTGTTATGAGCTTCAACCTCTCTCTACCACTATCTGTATCTCTCTCTTTCTCTGGAGTCAATGCATGTGCATGCAGGTACTGAGAAGAAAACAAAGCCTTAGCTGAGACTTGTCATCTGAAGTAGCAGACAGAGAGATAATGATAATGTGAAAATCACAGCTATGCATTACAAAGCTTAGCTTCAATGGGGAGGGGAGGGTAAAATCCAGAAATGTCCCTTTGGAAGTTTCAACTTTTGAAACATGTAATAAAACAAAGCAATCTTGGTTGGCTGATGATGACAGGCCTGAGAGGTGTTCAGAGTTTGTGGGGATCAATTCAAAAGACATGTCAAACGTCTTGTTTCTGTGCGTGAAACGGGACCGGAGCATGTCCTATGGAACCGACCCTACACGGCATCCTGCAGTACTTCTGAATAGTTCTGATTCTTGCTTTTATTTTTCCTACTTATAACAGATGAACATCAACAGAAACTTTGCCGAAAATTAGATTTAAATGTTGACTCTTGTTCTTTTTTGGGATTAAAAGGTCAAAATTAAATTTACCATCCTTTCAAGTAAATTTTCTCTCCCAACCATCAAGGCTCCCCTCAAACTCACACTAAAACTGCCTCGTCCAATACTGGATTTTGAAACTTGATTTAACCTTAGTAAGCCTAAAAAACTGACCCAAAAACTTTTTATCGCCCAAAGAATATTATTACTGATTTTATAGAATATATCACATGTCTTGATTCTTACTAATTTATTGCATCTATATATTTTGTAAAATATAAGTAGAATAATGAAGATTTTCAGTTTCTCATGTTTGTCTCAACTATTAATTCGATCTCTTAAATTCAATTTTTATCAATTTGATCATTTATATTTTTAAAATTATCACGTTACTCCTTTAAATTTTAAAACACAAGCTAGCATTTAAATTAGTCTAACTTGTAGGGGATATTGATCACTTTACCAGTATATGTGGTTAAATGAAAAAAAATTAATGTCAAATCAATTTAATTATTCACGTTGCATTTTGTTCTTTTATTTTTTAAAATTTTTGAATTTTTTTCACCTAATTAATTATACTTCCTTTTATTAATTTACTTTCATTAATATTCTTTTATCCATATAAATATATTTTAATAGTGTTACATCCTCTTTAAATAATAAAAGACCAAATTAATAGCTAAAATAAATTTAAATGTTCAAATCAGTAAAATTAAATTTAAAAAATCAAATTAATTACTGAACTTACTTGAAATGTTGAGAGTTTCATTATCCCAAAACTAAAGTATACTTTTAATTTTTTAATTTTATATAAAATTTTAATTTGATTCTCTAATTTTATAAAGTATCTTTTCAATGTTTGAACACTTGATGCTGTTAATTTTAAATGATTATTTTATATCAATCATTGTTATATTTAAAAAATGAAACTTAACATGTCTAACATTTAAAAATATTTTGTTAATATTTAAAAATTTAATGTTTAAATTTTTTATAATGAAACTAACAGTATGAGGGATAAAAAACTGAAAAAACACTTTATGAAATTAAAAAAATTAAAATAAACCTCATATAAACTTAAAGAATTACAGATATACTTTAATCTTATCCCAACATAAAATTCCAAAGATTATGACAACACTAGCTTTCAAAAAAATAAAGATAAACATAATTTTTAATCATTATATTTTATTCATGTTTTGCTTTTAATTTTATATTTTTTTTTAATATTTTAAGTTCATACACTTTTATTTTTATTATTTTTAATCTCTTTATAAGCAAAATATAAAGACCTTGAAAAAACTAAAAACAATAAAAAACAAAAATGTAAGAATCCAAAACACCCAAAAAAATATATATAAGAACCAAAAACAAAATGCGAATAAAATACAGTGACAAAAAATTATGTTTACCCAAAAAATTAAATTAAATTAAAATTTATACTAAATAGTGTGTACAACTAAAATTTTATTTAGAAAATATCTATAGCAATACATTTCAAAAGTCATCGAACTCAAACTCTCGAGAACATAACGGATATACAATTGTTAATTGGATAATTGGATATACAATGGAGAACTCGAAAGTCTTCGAACTCAAACTCTCGAGAACAAAACGCATCAAGGGACACAACGGATAATTGGAGATACATAACGGATAAGATGTTTCTTCATTAATTAGTTGGTCACTAGTCTTACTTCAGTAACGTCCACCCCAAAAATATTTAAGACACACACTTCTTCAATGTTTACATATAGCTCCGCTTAGAATCTCAAATATAAGAAATATGACAGCGGATCCCAATTATCCATAATGACCTTCTAAAAAAAACTATAATTTTTTTTTAAAAAGGAAAAAGGTCTTTTAAAAAAAAAAAAAAAGGGTTGCTCCTGATCGCCTAACGCTTCCTCATTTTGGATCTTGCAAATCTAGAAAGCAACAGACAGGAAGATGGAATGAGGGAAGGGTCAGAAAGATATCAAATCTAAATAAATCAAAATAAAAATTGATGAGAAATATAGGATTAGAAGATGATACTCTATGTGCATGCCACCCCGATCTGATGATGACAACGAACTTCCCTGAAGCTCCTCCATGACCTTAATAGCTTGCTCAATTTCCTGGTCAAGGAAGCTAAGGTTCAGAAGTAGATCATCAACAACATCACTAGTATTTGGGAAGAAATCATAGTCAATAGTAAATGTTCTAATTTATCTTGTTTCATTTTCATAAAGGTCAGCTTCCATTGTGAATATAAGCTGACCTTTAGGGGGGGGGGGATTCTGAGACAAATCAGACAAGCAAAAGTTATAATATGAACATTTTAAAGATGGAGTGCAATATTTTCACCTAACTCTGCACAAGTCTTGCCTGATGCAATATAACATTTTGGAGCCTTCCGAGCTACAAGAGCCCTATGTTATATTAAGAGATCCATGACAGCCTATTAGCTGATTCTGATCAATGTTCAACGCCAGGAATAAGCATATTACCTATTTTATATGAGACCATAAAAATTGATGAGGGTTGAAAGCCAAATGATTTCTTATGCTTAAATCCTGATTAATAGTCCGTTAATTAGGGCAGTTGAGAAAGTACAAGTAGCAATCAAGCATCCAGATTCCAGACCAATTGTTTCTCCCAAACTGAAATTGGCAAGATAATTGGATTTATTTTTCCAGAAATATGTTCCAAAACTGATGTCATGACTCATAACTTCAGAGAACATTGTCACTGCTAATGTCATGTTATACCATCAGCTCCAACTTAAAAGTAGAGAATCACACAGGTTACGACTGTCCCGAATGAAAATAATCATGTTACTCACCGCCTCTGCTTCATAAAATTATACAATATTACAAAATAGCCTACTAAATAAAATATTCCGTATTTTCCCGAAAGAACTGATAGTTACCCCAAAATCAGCAAAAGCAACAGGCATTCCTCCTCTAGAACGCATTTTGACCATGTTGAATCCAGGATACCTGGAACATTGGATAGATAGCATTGAGTTTTTTAGTTGCAAATCAAGTAGATAAATGGGAACATTGCAGCAGGATCCTGCAGATCCATTTTAATAACAATCACAGGGAAGTCTCCCCCTATTTAACAAACAAACAAGAGAGAAGCAGCATCTCACACAGAAAAAGCTTGCTTCAATTCACTTTCAGTGCAGTTTGGACCTAGATTTGCGATGAAAAGAGTGGAACATGGTCCTCCTTCGGCACCCTTTTCTTGCGGCTCCTGTGGATCCCAAGTTAAAAAGATTTAGAAAGGCCTCTGCGAGGAGCAACATCTTTTCCTAAACACAAATTTTCATCCGGAATATATTTATGTTCAGGTTGAAACACAGAAAGTAGGAATTCTATCCACTCATTTTCCAGATGCAAAGACATAGGATGTATTGCACAAATCTATATTCAGTAAGCAGGGGAGGTCCATTATATTACTGGTTTTCACTTACATACACATGTGAAGCATCATCAGAACTAACTGCAGTCTCACCACTGCATACGAGCAGAGAAAGCAAAGGATTTAGTGATGCGCAACAAAATACTATAGTCATCTTATATTTAAGCTAATAAGCGCGAAACTAAAAATTTTGGATTTTTTTTACGATGAAAAATTCATAATTGATTGTACTCTCAACCTTTTCACTGATGGAACATCACCATGGTTGCTGTGATTCCCAAGAGGTTCTTCAGATTCACCATCACCTGCATAAACAAGATGCGCAAAATCGTGAAGGTGAGCAACAGATCCAAGAAGAGCATCACCTACCCAAAATTTAATAGAGGGAAAATACATGAAGGAACATATTGAAGCCCTAGATGGATTGCAAAATACTCATTCCATCAAGCTGGAGCGAGCAAGATGATAGCCATTCTGAACATAAGATATCTACTTTGCCTTGAATTTATATTTAATGTAGTTTTACCATCATCACTTGATGACGCCTGAGCATCAGCATCCCCTTTAGATCTTTTATCAATAACAACATAGGCTCCACCACCTGTGCAATGTAAAAGTTGGATAACAATTGGGGGAAGTAGTTAAAGAAGCTGACTTTCTCCATAATTCATCAAATAAATATATATTCATTTAACAAGAGAAGTGGTAAAATTTTGAAAGAGCATGTATCTAGATGTGTATTTTAGTTTGATAAAATTCATTAATTCAGTCCTCTTCCAAAAATACAAACCTGGTTTACGCTTTCTCCTTGAGTTTGACCTGGCAAGCTCAATGTGTAGAACAGACCCAGCTTGAGGGTCAAATTTGGTACCCTAAAGATCATCAAAAAACTAGGAAATCAGATGTCAGAACAAATTCCAAAGAATCTAGGTTCTTATCAATAAAAGTTAATCCTTTTTTCCCAGATTTTATACTAGAGCATAAAATAAGAAAAATGAATTATAAACCCATGTATGTTCAATCTAAAGGCAAGAACTGCAAAGGAAATAAATAAATTCATAGAAATCAGCTTCCAGCAACATTTGTAGTTGAATTTTACATCCTAACTTC